CTCCTACAGTTTTGGTCTGATTTCAATATAACTTGGCACCCAAGTAGACTACGCTAAGATACATAATTCTGTATATCGGTTTTTGATTTCGATGAACGGTGTTGCCGTTGTTACTAAAAATAGAAATTTCTGTGAAATTCTTTCAAAATGCTACTCCTCCTACAGTTTTGGTCTGATTTCAATATAACTTGGCACACAAGTAGACTACACTAAGGTACATAATTCTATATATCAGTTTTTCACTTCAATGAACGGTGTTGCCACGGTTATTAAAAATAGAAATTTCTGTTAAATACTCTCAAAGTGCTACTTCAAATACAGTTTTAGTCTGATTATAATATCCTGGCGTATTGTATTTTCGACCTATTTAGATGTAATTTATCAATTTATTGCAAACTTAATAGAAGCTGAAAAACTATGGGCTTAAAATGTTAGCATGTGTGTCTATGATTAAAATTATATAACCCAAATTACAGTTTTGTGTTTATTTTATTTATATGCAATAATATGGGGAGGGAGCATTTTTACCCACAAAAATATTAGCGTCTTGTGTTTTCGACCTAAATATAGTATCAACGACCAAACAGCATTGGCTTTAAATATCCATTGGATATTCCAAACAATAAAAATCCGATTGTCTGTCTTTCAAAAAAACATTGAACAAGTTGCATATTTCGGTTACAAATATATTTATACTTTGGTTTATTGCCCATCTGTCAGGAGTCGTGCATTTCCAAAAAAATTCAATGAAATTACGTTGCATTTTTCAGTAAAATTCTGTAAGAAAGTGCCCATATCTAAGGGAGAAAAAAAATTCGTTTGATCCACCCATTCATTTAAATATTCGTGCGTCTCTTAGATAGAGATCTTAATTTTCTTTCGAAAAAATGTCATCAAAAAATCTTTGTAATTAACCAATTAAGGCTTTGATTAATCAACAGATAAAATGTGCATTAGTAAAAAGACTAGAATTTCTGACATCAGACTAAAACCATGGAGGGAATTCCGTTGAATTAATTATTTTGGGTATTTTCACTACAGTTGTGCTTGAAAGGTATTTTTCCAAGTGTAGCAACCGAAAATAATGTTCTACCATGCGGTATCTGCACGGGAAGCAGACTGGGAAAAATAGGTCGAAAATACAATACGGTCGAAAATAGGATACGAGACGATATAATGTGGCATGCAAAGACTACACTTAGAACATAAAGAGACTTAATTAAGGATCATTATTCTATTTATTGCTGTTGAAAAGTTTCAATTCCCAATTGCTATAAGTACAAACCAGTAGAGCTTCAGTCTCGACAGAGACTTCTGGTTACAAGCTAGGTGTCGATCAGGTTACTGTTTAATAATATAGTCAGTGGAATTTTTCTAAAGTTAGATAATGAAAATTAAATTGTACATTAAATATTTATTGAAATTTACCGTGAAAGAGGAAGTTATGAAGATCAGTCTCAATTTATATTTTGGCAAGTTCATTAAATTTGACATGTATCAGGAAGCTATATTTATTATAATGCTGTTATCTTTCATTTTGGGTCATGCCAAGAATGTTATATGGCTTTATTTGTACATACAGAAATATACCTGTACATGTATTTCTTAAGCATAATTTACCCTGACACTTTTTTCCTAATTTATCAAATATTGACAGGTATTGAATAATTAAGGTCTTCCGTTTCAGACGGAAGACCTTATAGTGATTCTACTGTTTCTTTTTATTATTATTATTATTATTATTTTTTTTTTCCCCTTTTGTTTTTGACGATTTCTCAGAGATGACTGGACGGATTCAGGTGAAATTTTCAGAGATGATAGACAGTCAAAATATCTTTCAAATGCAGTTTTCAATTTTTCAAAATTCACTTCCGGTCGTCAGATATGTCCGATTTCCGGTTTTTTCGAAAAAAGTTTTGTCCGAGTCATATCTCAGAAACGGTAAGAGATGAAGACACCAAACTTATATGAGTAATAGATCTTGATAAGTAGGCAAAACCAATCGGGTTAAGATTTCCGGTCGTCACAGGAAGTGATCAAAGAAATGGAAAATTTCAACTTTTATTTTATGTAATGTTTTTTGAATAATATTATAGCATATTTTTTGTTGTTTTTAAATATTTCAGTACCACCGGAAACAAAAACGACAACTTCCGGTTATAAGAGAAAAACTGCATATTTTCAGTATTTTTCTTTCCCAAAAATATTTTTCATAGATAAAGTATTTGTCATGATTTTTGGACATGTTATTCAGACTGCAAATGTCTACAGTAACGTCAAATATCTTTGTAAAATTCACTTCCGGTCGCGTGATTTCCTTTCCTCAAAATGAGAACTTATCATAGCTAGATCTCGTAAACGGAAAAAGATTAAGACACCAAACTTATACAAATGGTAGATCTTGATGAGTAGGCAAATTCAGTTTTGATAAGATTGTCCGCCGTCACTTCTGGTCGTCACAGGAAGTGTTCTAGAAAATCAAAATTTTCAAATTTTCTTTTATTAAACTTTTTGGGCATGACGTTATACTATCTTATTTGTATTTTTAAAATACATCAGTACAACCAGAAACAAAAACGACAACTTCAGGTTTTAAGAGAAAAACTGCATTATTTTAGTATTTTTCTTTTTCCTAAATATTTCTTATACATGACTCATTTGTTACGATTTTTGGATATGTAATTCATACTGCAAATATCTACAGGAAGGTCAAATATCTTTGTTAAATTCACTTCCGGTTGCGTGATTTTCTGTCCTCAAATTGAGAAGTTATCATAGCTAGATCTCGTAAACAATAAGAGATTAAGACACCAAACTATTTCAAGTGGTAGACCTTGATGAGTAGGCAAAACCAGTTGGGATAACATTGTCCGCCGTCACTTCCGGTTGTCACAGGAAGTGATCAAAGAAATCGAAAAATTCAACTTTTCTTATAGAAATTTTTTGCATCACATTATAGCTTCTTATTTGTAGGTTTGAAATATGATAGTATCACCGGAAACAAAATCGACAACTTCCGGTTAAAAGAGAAAAACTACATTATTTGAATATTTTTCTTTCCCATAAATACTTTTTATAGTTAAAGTATTTGTAATGATTTTTGGATATGTTATTCAGACTGCAAATGTCTACAGTAATGTCTAATTTCTCAGTAAAATTCACTTCCTGTCGCGAAAATTCCTGTCCTCAAAATCAGAAGTTATCATTACAACATCTCGTTAACGGTAAGAGATTGAGAAAGCAAACTACTAGGGGTGGTAGACCTTGATGAGTAGACAAATCCTTTGAGTTTAAGATCATCCACCGTCACTTCCGGTTGTCACAGGAAGTGATCAAAGAAATCAAAATTTTAAACTTTTCTTTATGGAATCTTTCTTAGTAATTACCTTAATAGCTTTTTACTAGTAGTTTCGAAATATGTCAGTCCCATTGGAAACAAAAACGACGACTTCTGGTTATGAGAGAAAAACTGCATAAATTGAGTTTCTTACTCCCCCATAAATATCTTTTATGAAAATATCCTTCTTACAGATAAATAGAGGAGAACGGAAGACCTTCTTTGTTGCTGTAGCAACAAGAGTTTCTAGTTATAAAACTGTTCATGATTTAATGGATGAAAAATAGATTGTGACACATTGACAAGTAAAATTGATAAATTGATATATGTAGAACCTGTATGGATTTAATCATCAAAACTTGGGGAATATACCATATATTGATAACTAAATTATTTTATGATAAATATTTTACTGGTAATTGAATAAAAGAATTTTAACCAACTTTTAACAGTTTATAATTCAGTGAGTTTTTTTCCCAAAATCACTATGCAATATGTATATAATATATATTCAAATAACATATGATTTTAGATCAGGTATACCTTGTTTAAGAGGCCAATGTAAGTATCTAGAAACAATTTAGAATTACTTAAAAGTTGGCCATTTTTTTTTTCAGACAAAACATTTTACTGTAGGAAATTATAATAAAAGATTATATAGTCCCCCCATCTTTTGGTTCCATCACAGTTAAATAAAGGTATTGTCGTATGTTTGAGTCTGAAAGAAATTTGAACCTAACCCCATCCCCTCCCACCCCTACCCCACCACCATACACAAACGAAATAAAATTTTACAGTTTGGTTGGACAATCACCAGTAATTTTCCTTTTTTTTGGCTTGTCAAGTTTTGTTCTTTCAAATATTTTCAAAAACAATGCTGCATCACATACTAGCTGTTCATGTATATATTTTAAATATCATGACATAGTAAATTATTGTTGGAATTTTTCTGTGTCTGTATATTTTCTTTCTTTGACCTTCTTGTTAGATCTTTGATGCATGAAAAGTGCATAGTATATACATCCATTTTGCATAAAAAGTATTAATCATTAATATTTTATTAATTCAATTGAATGCCAATATCTTGGATTCGCCTTTAACAAAATCCATATAGCAAACGTCATAAACTTTAAAAATGCTAAGGCCTAGGGCACATTCACATGAGGATCGTAATTTGATTTGGAATTTTTTTAATGTTATATAAGTGTGATATCGATGTTTTACACACATCTAAGTTAGTAAACATGCCAACTAATATTTGATAAACATGGTTTGCAGAATGATATTCTTATGCAGTTGATAAGCTTGTTAAATTAATGTTCTGTGCTGTGTGATGGGGGCTTACAGTATTTTCCTTGAATTCTGAATTTATCATTAGAAAAAAACTTAGCTGAAATATACCTCCCATCTTGGGTGAAATATAAGCAAAGGAATTATTTTCTTTATGATCAGTTGATCCCCCCCACACTGTAACAGTCATTCTCCCATTTGCTCCAGGAGGGGGGTAATTAGGATAAAGTTCATCCAGGCTTTAGCACCTACCACTATTTATCAGAGTGTTAGGATTAACAAATCTCATTTGTAAACACTGTGTACAAGACCTTGTTTTGCCTGGGTGATTATGAAAATTCTGCCTCCCTTGAAGTTAGCATGAGAGGGATTTTTATTTGGTTTCTTTGCCAGCTTTATCATTTGGGCTGGTAATTGTTATATTTTCCCTCTCTCTTTGTGTTGGGAGTGTCAGTTTATGAGCTTGGATTTAAATAGGTTTACACCCTCAGGAGAATTTTTTGACGGAGATTTGATGTGATGTGTTATTAATGGTAGTTTTACATGTTGGAATGTTGGAATTGAAGATTTTCAGAGATGGTGAGTATTCTATAAGTATGTCAGTGTACTGAATAACAAAGCACTATAAAGTAAAAATGGAGCAAAAGAAATGGCTAATATCCTGGAACTTTTCATTAACAATTAGTAAATAGAAACTGTAAGTTTATCAAATATGTGCTGAGAATATTTGGATGGATGAAATTTTTCCTGTTCATGGCCTTGGAACAGTATATGTGCATTAAATTGTCCTTTATTAGATGCCGGTAATAGATAAGGTATAGAAAGTTAGGGGAGCATGGTAACACGGCAGATTTACCTATCTCAATAATGAGCTCACCTGAAGCTCATAATTAAAGGTGTTGTCACTGAACTTCATCTGTAAAAATGGAGGATGTGAAAATATCAGTGATGATTGCAATAAAATTTTAAAGGTATATATATAAAATTAATCTGATTTATTGTGTTTGTTGACTCAATTAATTATCTTCACAGAATAAAATGGACTGTTCTAATATAAACTAATTGTCAATTCATATGAATTTTAGATGTAGTAAGTCAATGAATTTATAGTTAGATCATGTAGATTGATTTTCAGATGGACTGATGTAAAATGCATGTTTTTCAAAAATCTGTGGTTGCATACTAATATGCAAAAAAATCTCGTATTATTTAATCAATTGACAGAAAAGAGCTATATAGCTAAAATATGAACAGAGAGTGTGACAACTATTGTAATCAAATTTTTTTTATTTCCTTTATTTTTTTGACAGGCTGTCATATGGCTTGTACAGAGAGCTGGTATTATGAAAATCCAGAACCTAATTATGACAAGACTCACTGAGGAAGTATTCAGGGCTCTAGACAGAAACTGTGGGCTAACATCAGGTCAGTATGCAGAATATTTGTATCAGTTGTACACATGCAGACAGATTTCAAAACATGTGAGGTTGAAGACTTGTGAGGGAACATGAAGAATGGGGGGCATCTCTTTGTTACAAGCCTAATTACACAGAAGAATGCATGCATGGTGGAGATTTCTGATGTGTGTACAACCTTTACAAAAGATAAATGTTTTTTCATGACGACTTATGTTTCATGTGGCCCGGCTATGATTCCTGCAGCTAAGGCTTCAAAAATAAGACTTCCATTCTTCATACTAACTTGTTTAATTATTTTCTTTTGCAATATATGTAGTTATGAAGCTGCATGTACCTGATAAAAACCGTTTAAAATTTTTCTACAGACCCTCCCCCATTTCAAATTATAAATGAACTCCCTTCATGGTTATGATTTGATATGCTATCTAATTATATACTTGTAAATGTGCAGACTCTCTTTTGGATTTACATCAAAATTACAACTTTCAACTTTTGACCATTTTAGCCATCACAAATATACTCAAATTTTTTGAAACGTTAAAATTATTAACATGATGAAATATTGAGGATTTCTCGGAATACATGTATACCAGCCTCTATCATTAAAGGACCTATACTTGGAGGTATGCCGCGTTAGAGTGATAATCCAATGGTAGCATGTAGCGAAGGAATAAGAAATCTTTTAGATAACTTAATCCATACAGGCCATATCGATGCATCCATTATTCCCAAGCCATTTTAAGCACCCGAGGACCATGTATCAAAGAGTAAGTAGATGAAGGGGGGCCTTGTCAGAGTATACTAAAAGACTTGTACATGTATGATCCCTGCTCTCATTTAAGCTCTACTTGTCTGAACTAGGGGTGCTTATTTGATAGTACAGTTAATTTTACCTGCCATGAACCCTAAATTACATACAGTAGATTAGCACATCAAAATCTACAATTTTATACAAAATAAATTTCCCAATTTACAAAATCATTTCCTTTATTGCATTTAGATCTGAGGTGCTTATAATGTACAGAAGTAAGTAGGATATACATGTATATTTATCATACATGAAAAAATTAATCACCTATATTTATCGGAAAGTGAAAAGCCATGCAAGCAGTACAAATTTCTGCTGAAATTGCAGAGATAATGAGAAATCCCTGCTAGATGTCTATGTTCACACGGCAGCCTAGCAGTGCCATTGATGTTTTCCTTCAAACTGATAGTTTTTATCAGGTGTAGGGAATTCTGACAAAATTCTGCAGCTCCTGACTACAATGTGTAATAAAAACCTTCATGGTCAGCAATTGATAAAAATATCTTGATTGTCATTTACTAATCTCCAGGAAATGAAAATCGACAGATAGATATATCTCAAGACTGCATATAAATACATGTATTACTTTATTTCAATAATTAACAGATAAGATTCATAAAGATACCCTCGGCCAGCCCGCTCGCCCTTTTGAAAAATGGGAGGAGTATAATGCAGGAATTGCAACTGTGTTGACATCTGCCAAAAATATTTCTTTTTACATTTTTTTTCTTTCAAGTAAGGCCAGGTAAAATTAATCTTTAGATTCTCATCCTAATTTGCAAAAAAAATGGGGCGGGTGGGCGGATTTTATTTTTTATTTTTTATAATTGTTAATTTATATATAGGCCTAAGTATCAACAAAACAATGGACGCCCCGTACACATTTTTTTCATTACCTTAATGCAAATATGAATATATTTAATTCTTTTCATATTCTTTTAAATATTTAAAGAAAATTTTTGCTTTAAAAGTTTAATATTTATTGTTAATTAACAAATTATCAAGTACACATTATACGGCACACCCTGAACAAAATGAGGTGGGGATACCAATAAATTGTGTATGCGTGACTTCTTATTTTGCAAAATCTATATAAATGTTCTAATAGTTATTCTACTGAAAAATCTAGGCCTTCTCTTAAGTCTGTCTACGATGTTGTAGATTTTTTTTTTATTTCAAAGCTAAGTCACACAGCTGGAGATCGTTATATAGGCCCTATAACTTGAATGACCAGGTGTCATTTTCCTCGTCTGTTTTTACTTAGTTACAATTTCTCTACATACTTGCTCCTGCCAGTGATGGTATCTATATGTGTTTATGCTATTTTTTCTTCTCTGCCTTCTCTATACTGACAAATTATCTTTTCCTTACACATTTAAACTGCTTTTATTGCCGATTTTCTCCATTCTTCACATGGCGTTTTTGCTATAAAAAGCGACACGCGACTTTTAATACAGACGGGAGATAACTCTTAAACTTTGACCCAAATTCTTACTGAATAAAAATACATGAAAATACCCAAAAAATCAAAATAAAATACATCGGGGCGGGACATTTTGAGAGGGGCGGGCGGGGATGAGAATCTAAAGATTAATTTTATATGGCCCAAACTCTATGCATTTATACAAGGAGAAAAAAAATGAAAGGAAAGGACATAAACAATATTAATTGTGTTTAAATATGCTTCATAAGTATACTTTAAACATTAATTATTTCAACTTGGTTAGACAATTCAGAAAATAAATAAAAGTAAAAAGAATCTCATTCTAAGGAGCCTAAATAAATTTATTACCCCCAGATCAGCAAAAATAAACGTGTAAAACATTATAGCGTCAATATTCAATAATTTTTACACTGTTAATTGAATTTTGAGGAAATTTACACACCCCCCCCCCCCCCCCACAAAAAACAAACAAACAAACAAACAAAGCATGATTACATGTTGTCTAACTGCTTCTAAATCTACCATCTTTCTGGTCTATAGAGTGATGATATCTAAGAAGGGGGGGTGTTCTTTTTAGGTCACCTGAGTAACTCAGGTGACCTATTGCTATCCGTTTTCGTCCGTCGTCGTCCGTCGTGTGTCGTGTGTTAACATTTGAACATTTTCAGCTTCTTCTCTATAACCACTGAACCAATTTCAACCAAATTTGGTATACAGCATCTATGGGTGAAGGGGAACAAAAATTGTGAATTTCATGGTCCCCGCCCCCCTGGGGCCTGAGGGGTGGGGCCAAAACCACTAAAATTAATGAAATCTTTAAAAATCTTCTTCTTTACTCCTGGACATCAAGCAAGGAAACTGTTGGCATGAATGTAATGAGCATTGAGTCCTCTACCAAAATTTTGAAATTCATGGCCCCAGGGTCAGGGGTTCTAGTGCTAGGGCGGGGCTCTATAGATTATATAGTGAAAATGCATTATTTCTTTGAAAATCTTCTTCTCTGCTCCTGGGTATTAAATAAACTAACTAAGCACATAGTTATGATGAGCAAGAGTGCCTCTTCCAGATTTGTGAATTTTATGGCCCCAGGGTCAGGGGTTCTGGTGTTAGGGCGGGGCTCTATATTTTATATAGTGAAAATGCATTATTTCTTTGAAAATCTTCTTCTCTGCTCCTGGGTATTAAATAAACTAACTAAGCACATAGTTATGATGAGCAAGAGTGCCTCTTCCAGATTTGTGAATTTTATGGTCCCAGGGTCAGGGGTTCTGGTGGTTAGGACAAATCTATTGATTATATAGTGAAAATGCATTATTTCTTTGAAAATCTTCTTCTCTGCTCCTGGGTATTAAATAAACTAACTAAGCACATAGTTATGATGAGCAAGAGTACCTCTTCCAGATTTGTGAATTTTATGCCCCCAGGGTCAGGGTTCTGGTGTTAGGGCGGGGCTCTATAGATTATATAGTGAAAATGCATTATTTCTTTGAAAATCTTCTTCTCTGCTCCTGGGTATTAAATAAACTAACTAAGCACATAGTTATGATGAGCAAGAGTACCTCTTCCAGATTTGTGAATTTTATGGTCCCAGGGTCAAGGTTCTGGTAGTAGGACAGGGCTCTTTTGATTATATAGTGAAAATGCATTTATTCTTTGAAAATCTTCTTCTCTGCTTCTGGGTATTAAATAAACTAACTAAGCACATAGTTATGATAAGCAAGAGTGCCTCTTCCAGATTTATGAATTTTATGGTCCCAGGGTCAGGGGTTCTGGTGTTAGGGCGGGGCTCTATTGATTATATAGTGAAAATACATTAATTCTTTGAAAATATTTTCCTTTGCTTCTGGGTTTTATTCCAATGATCCAAGTATATATATATATTGAAGAAAGGTGATGAAGAAAGGTGCATATAGCAAAGTGGGTTTTTTTATGCCCCCAGGGTCAAAGGGGGGGGGTTACATAGTCTGAAAATAAATTAATGCTTTGATTACATTTGCAAAATTTTGAAATATGTGGCCCGGGCCATGGGTCAGTGGGTGAGGTGCACAACTGGTTATAAAGTGGAAGTGCATTTTCTCTTTGTTACTCTGATCTATCTCTGGGGATTAAGTAAATAGAGTAAGCATGCTAAGTTAATAATTATGATAAGCAATGGCGCCTCTTTCAAAATTGTAAATTGTGAATTTCATGGCCTCCGGTTTAAAACATGAACCAAATATAATTGTTTGAAAGTTGTTGCACAATACTCAGGTGACCTATAAGGCCCGTGGGCCTCTTGTTCTATTTTTCCAACTCTACAACAGACAATACATCATGGAAAAAATCATGACAGCACTGTTCATTTTTTTACCTGCTTTAAATCACAAATTCTGTTTATCATGTAGTCTCAAAGTCAATTATATCATTGAAATGGGAAGGGACACTTGTTGACAAAGTCAAAAGTTGAGAAGAAAAATGTTTACACTGTAGAAATTTAATTGTAATTACTTTCATTTAACACAAGCTTAAAAGCTTTAAGCCTTTGTCCAAACAAGTGTATCCATCCAGAAGATTTTAACTAAATTGAAGATTACTTTTATTAGATTTTCCCAATGAATCGCTAAAACATCAACGGAGCATCACTGATTATTTATGTGTAAGATTTAAAATTGAAGTCATTGGTAAATCATTAAATGGACAACACAAGACTTTGATGAATGAAGGAATATAATATACACAGATTAAATAACATTTGAGTACACTCTGAATCAGAGCTTTCTCTTTTAGCCTCAGGAAAGTGACTAAGGGATTTAATCAACAGCAATACACCATCCCTGTGTACATTTAATTAGCTGCATGCTGCTTAATAGAAGGCTTCATTCCTGTATCGTATGGTATGTATCTGATTAATTCTTTATTAATTCTGTGTTTATTTATCTTTTCTAACACATGCTCATATGCTCAAGCTTTTTTAGTAAACTTTGCAGACTTTCTGTATGCCTATTAAAACTATTTGTATTGAAGTTTTCTACTCATGGGTCCTATGTTTTTTCACACGTAATTGTTATTCACATATTTTCACGAGAAATTTCCAAAGAAGAATTATATTAGAAATGGGATGTAAATAAGCCTAAAATTTCTTGTGATCAGATTGTGCATTGATATACCAATATATAAACAGTCTGTGAGTCAATTTTGTTCTAATCTGGACCCCCCCCCCCATCATCTCTTCTTTCTTTCTTTCACTCATCACATCTTTTCCATCTATCTTTATTTTTTGTAGGTTACATGTACTACATCTACGTTATTTTGAATTTGTGTACAGTGTACATGTAATCTTTAAAAAATGGAGTATGAAATATCCCTGATGTTAATGTTGTTAAAACTGCTTCTGAAGATTACAGGAGGTGGGAAGGGGCCTAGATCATGTGAGCCAACTACCCATCTCCCACCCCATTCCCTCTTTTGGATTGTCAGTAGTGTAAAAAAAGTGGGGGGGGGGGGGTCCAAAGAGGGTCCTGTTATAAAATAGAGAGGATTAATATCAGGGAGTCATGTATCTGATGAAAAAATTGCCAAGTGACTTAATTGTCCTAACTCCACCCACCCCCACCCTCTAACATCACCCCTGAAGAAACTTCTGGATCTGTAATATTACATTGCATTTAATGCTATAACTGGTAGCATTTATCTATATGAACATGATACTGGCACTTACAAAATATACTCGTATAATGATAAATTCTGGTAGATAGAAATAATAGGCCAAAAAAATTAACCCTGATAATGAGCTATACTTATGAGTAATACTGCTGCATGTTCATAAATTATGGTGGACAAATTGTGCACAAAGTACATGTATGCTTATATCTAATACAGTGGAGTAATTTGTATTTTATATATAATTTACACATAAAATATAGAAATGAAAAAACATCAGAAACCTATAGATAGTTTTAAATTTCTGTTAATTATCATGGTCATCTAATGGAAAACATTTCCACAAAAACTACCATATATGTAAAATATGATAAATATTAAACTTCAGTACAGTGTACATGTATTGAATCTAGAGTTCTTTGCTCTTTCAGTTGTCATTTGCACTGTACCTCTTTCGTTGACTTGCACACATAAATTTGAATGATCGTAACTTCACACCTTCTATTTTTTATTAATAATACTGTTATAGACAATTTATCATGGTGTTTCGGTCAGTTTATTAACATTACCCCATAGAATCACCAACAGGAAATATAATGTCCTGAATGAGGATGACAAATTCGTCTATTTTGATGTCCATTGTACTGACTTACATGACTTAGGAGGGGTGAAAATTTAGGTGGACAATTTAGGATGTTTACGTCAGTCATATAACGTGTTAATGATAAGGATTAAAGCAATATAGAAATAGTTCTTTCACTGTACATAGGTGACATGGAGATTTAACCTATCACACAGGTAAAGTTTACAAATTTGAAGATGAAAATTGTCATTTTGATTGGTCGATCCATAGAAAAGATAAGACTTTTCCTTAATTTCAGTTATCAGTGATAATTAATAAATAAATTATAATTAATGAGTATATAATGGAGAATGTATGTCTCTGCAGATGTCTGCTGAGTGTGATAAATTAATAATGAAAAATAATTTTCAAATGGAAATATGGGCCATATAACATGTATAATATATTTTGAAATTAGAAACTGCTTAAATTCATTCAGAATGCGTAAAAGGGTTTTGGCAATATTTATATATGTACATGTAGGTTAGCGGATGATAGTATCATGTTTTGAGTTTAAATCCGTGATTTATAAATATTGCTGTGAAAGGTTAGGCAGTAGGCTCTGTATCTTAATCAGGATAAGGATGATTTGTTACAGAAAGGGTCAATAGGTCAGAGACCTGGGGTGTAAGAAGCTAATGTAGAAGTCAAAGATGTTTAGAGCCCTAAAAGCTGTAAAAATGCCTTTATACACTGTAGGTGACGAGAAAAAAAGGGAACTTGTTAGAATTTAGGAACTGTGTTTTGTAAGTTATTCTTATTTTTACATACATGTAACAATTTCAAATATTACTTTTTATTAACAAAATATTCATTTGTTTGTTTGTTTTTTTTTATTTTTTTTTTTTTTTTTTCGTTACAAAAAAAAAAATAAAAAAAACCAAACAAACAAATGAATATTTTGTTAATAAAAAGTAATATTTGAAATTGTTACATTTATGCATCCTCACTTTGATATGCACTTTTGATTAATATTATACCTTCATGTGAATTATTTATATTTAGATATGATTTTTGAGAAATTTTTGTGAAAATTTAAAAACACTGTTACACTCTAAATAATGAGACCAATTTTAAAGCATATAGTTCATTAGAAATAGCAATTTTTAAGAGTCAACATTCAATTTGTTAAAGACATTGGGCATAATATATTCACCCCCAGAAATACTTGCACAAATGCTTGACACTTTAATTTCTAATAAAAACAGCATTAATTTCTAATAGAAACCATTATATAACTGATGATATAAAATTGAAAACTTAATTTATTCATTGAATAAATACTTCTTGAAAAATTTATTGTCAAATTGACTGTAACATTGCTTGAGATGCAGCAAATTTTCAATGTTACCAACAACTACAAACAGTTGTATTTTAGCAATATACTACCACAGGAGTCTGAAGTTTTTATCATTAAAAAAAAATCCGGAAAAAATTTTTTCCTGCTTTTTGTTTACAATTATTTTAAACTTCAGACTTATCCTATGATACTACACATAGGTATTATTAATGATGAGAAACAATTAAGGCATATTAACATTTTATTATATAATTGCTCTTTATATAAAAACATAGACCTAAATCGTTTTAGGTCTATGATAAAAATTAACACTCTCAAATAAATTACTGGGTAACAAGTTTTTTCTTATTTGCAAACATAGTTTTATTTGATTTCACACAATTCATTATTATAATAATGCAGTGGACCCTTAGATATCCGGATGCTTCAGTATCCGGACAACTTTTCATCAGAACAGAATTTTTGAAATGTTATTTTGTCTTGTTTAACTGGTAATTCAGATATCCAGATGCTTCACATATCCGGACAAAATGACTCGGAACCAAAGCGTCCGGATAAATGAGGCTCCACTGTAATTGTTTTAGTGTACATGTACTCAACTTCTACTCAATGTATCAGGAACTAAAATTTCACCTGTAAGTATCGATCTATCCACCAATCCAAGTCCTTTCTTTGCTGTATGTAATGTCAGTGTGATAGATTTTGAATTAATTCTTTTGATATTTATATATTTTATTTCTTTATTTGCATACCTTTTTTTATTTTGTTCATTGTTTACTTTTTTCCGCTGTCTTTTGTTGTGTGACAGCCAGTAGTGGAGTTATGGTGTAACAGTAACCACATAAATCAAAGGACATGACTCGCATAAAGTAATGTGGGACTTTTTTTATGAATATTATTGGGAAGGTCTTCTTTGTTAGTGTACAGAATAGTCACAGCATAGGATAGGGACAGTTGGCCAGAGGCCCTGCCTGGACATTACTGGACATGCTGATCGTTTGTTAAACATATGTCAGAGATGATGAAACAAGTTTTTTATGGAGGTATTTGTGCATTTTCTTGGAAGCCAACAACAAAGTTAATGTTACGTTAGACATTCTTCAGTTCAAGCAGTTTGGATTGTGACTTATTTTGTGCTCTGAGAAATATTGGTAAAATTGTTTTTGATTCAGTTTTTGAGAAATTTCTCGAATGGGATGAATATAAAAAACTTTACAGGTATGATTCAGTTTTACAATTTGCATCATGATTTTGTTCCAAAATACCAATTTTTCCTTTGAACATAATTGGTTCATTTTAACATTTAAGTTTCAGCTAACAAGTAATAAAAAGCAACTAAAAATTAGACTTTGAGTCTGAAAAGGATTACGTACGTTTACCTTTGCTTTACATAAATCTCGTTTAAGGTGCAAGCATTTGATTTTTTTCCTGCATTTTTTAATTTTGTAATAATTAGATTGCACTTTACCTGATTCCCTTTGAAAAACAACATTTTTATTCTTTAGGCATTGTACTAGCTGAGGTTGTTTTCCTCCTAAACATTTCCAGATGTTAACTGCATGAATATACATATTTAACTTATTTTTGGGTTGAAATGAATTTGAAAAATATTTACTTATGTATAAACATGTTTAAATTTGCTACATAACAAAATTTTGAACTCCCAGCTTGTATCTCAGATGGTACAAACATTTTCCCCAAAAGTAAAGGCCATTGTGACCATATTCAGGTTAAATGACTTTGGCCCATTAGCTGTAAATGATTGCCCATTAGATAACTCAGTTAACTGTCAAACCAGGTGCCCAGGGGTCAGTTCTTAATAACTTTTATGACTTGAATTATCCTAGGGTCATACACGATATTGATGAAATTGACAGCAAATTAACATTTTCAGTGCTTTTTGCTTGATCTTAGGACTGCAAATCTTGAAGGTTTGTGAGAATTAATCTAATTGCAAATATTTTCCTTTCATTAACTTTCTTTTTTGGTGTAAAATATTCAAGTGTTAAAGTTTATATTTCTTTCCTGGTAATATGCAGTGATCAATCATTCATGATTAATTGCTAAAAGTTCACCAAAGTCATTAGATGTCTTTTAAAGATGCATGACCGTGTGTTTATATTTGCGAGAATACACACTTTTTTTATGTTTTGATTTTAATTAGCCATAAACTTTGCCTTGTTTTTTTTATTTTCACCAGTACAAGCCAATGTTTTTATACATTGAAGAGGAAGTTTAGGTTTATATTTACACCTAATATTTAATTATGAATTGTGCACTGGATAATTAAAGACTATACATTTCAGGTATAA